TGCTGAGGCCGCGTCCCACATACAGCAACTAGAAGTATGTGCAGCTATGACATACAACTATCTACTGGGGCTTTGGGGGAAATAAAACAAATAAATAAAATCTTTAAAAAAAAAAAAAAGAAATAGCTTGTAACACAGTGTCAGGCACATTGCAAGTGCTCAATAAATAGTACTGGAAGCTGGATCTGTATATATGCGTATGCGTATGCAAAGATACATAACATCAAAGGTAAAGAGAGAGAAATATTTTTAGCTTTGAAGGTAAAAGTTGTCCCTTCTCTAGCACCTAGTCTGAGCCTAGGACAGACTAGGACTTTTAGAAAATGCTTGCATAATTAGATGAAAATACATATTTGCTGCATTTATTCAACATCATAAGATTGTATTCTGCTAAAGAGAATTTGCTAGATAAACTAAAGCTTATCTCTTCCAGTGCCAACCTTTTGTCTACCATTTTCAATGGAAAATTTCTGTAGACATTATAAAAGAGCCTGACCTCTTATATAGAGAATTCTAAACAAAACATAAAGCTTCTTGAAGACTCAAGCTCTGTGTTAGGGTGGAATCTACAGGAGGTATGTGGGTTTCCTTTGAAATTTTTCTGTCTCCACTGTTCCTGTTCTGCTGTGAGCACTCACTTCTCTCTGAGGTCAATGTGCAATCTAGCAATCTGCTCAGCTCTCATGAGACCAGTGGATCTACGCCCCTGCTTACCTGCCTGCCAGCTTACCTGCCCACTTCCTTTCCTTACTTTCTGCCTGCCAGTCTATCTGCACATCTGCCACATAGGTCAGAGTCACTCAAATATTTATCAAGAGCCTTGTTGGGTGGTGAACAGCACTGGGTAAGAATCTGAGCCTTCCCATCTATTTCTGTTTATGACTTGAGCCAATCACTTTTCTGAATCTGTGTTCTTACCTATAAATAAGAATTATAATTAAACTCTTTAAAGAAAGGAACACTGTAAACATAGACGGTGCTCAATAAATGTTTGTTGAATGGTAAATGGACATGAGGACCAAATTAATTAAGATAATAAAAATAACTATTTTTGCTGTCATTGAATGGGCAGCTCTGGTGGTTCCTCCATTCATTTTTAGGTGGTCATTTCTAATCAAGGAAGCAGATAGTCAAGTCTGCTAAGAAAGTGGGCATTAAAAAAGGAGCTTATATGTTTGAAGCAGAAGAGAATACAAGTCAACCACTTAAATATTTACAGAGCACCTATACTCTGCCAGTGTGAGCGCTCAACGCCAGGGTACCAACAAGACGGAATTCCTCCAGCCCTCAAGCCCTTAAGGAGCTCACAGTCTGATGAGAGAGACAGGCAAATAAAGTGTCTGCTTTCTTATTTTACATTTCTTGATTTTTCAAAGTAAAATAATTTATTGTAGAATATCTAGAAAGCCCAGAGGAAGCAAATAAGCGGTAAAAATACCCATAATCAATCTCCCAGAGATGACCGTCATCAAGATTTTGATATATTTTCCTCTAGCCTTTTTTTTCTGTATGTTAACAACGGCCCCTGCCCTCGCCTCCACATCCCTGCAGCCTCTGGAGAGATCCTTGCCATCAGTTTGTACTTGAGACCAGGAAAGGCCAGCTGGATCAGGCCTCTGTGGTTTGGGCATCTGTCCAGGGTGATTCTTCTCCAGGCCCAGCATGTCCAAGTATCCACGATTTGCAGCCGGTCCCAATTGCTTATCAATCAGAGGCCTGAGCAGCAGGCTGTTCCTCAGCCCTGCTGGGCTGTCCTCAGTGGGTCTGAGCCAGCTGGGCACAGAGGCCCTTTGTCTCAGAACATTTCCTCGGCCAAGTTTTCATGGTCAAGTCTGAGAGCTGACAGAATTAACATTCACACGCGTGCACGCACACACACATACCTTGTGACTCCTGCATCATTCAGCCCTTCATCTGAATTCTAGTTTCTTTCTGCCTGAGTTTGTACTTTTACAATGGCCACTGCCAGCACGATTAGCCCTCCCCTCACACCTATTTGTATCACTAATTCAATGATTCTCCAATTCAATCAACCAACATTCCTGCATATTTTAAAGTGCCAGTCCCTATGCAAGGCCTGGGATTCCAAAAGCTCATATTACCCCTGAAGCCCCCGGTTCTATTACCTGCTGGCCACCTGACACTTGACAGCTTGCAGCAGTGGTCAGTGCATCCTTTATGGAGGTAAGTGACCTGGGTTCAACAAACATCTCTGCCATTGACTCACTGTGTGACTTTGGGAAAACCACCTCTGTTCTCTGGGTCTCAGTTTCCCCATCTGTACCATGAGATGATTAGATTCTAAAAGCCTGGCATACTTTCTGGTTGCTGAGTTGCTCTGTGGCCTAGAATAGTCTGAGAAAACAGCAGAAAGAAAGGAGCCTGAATCAAGCTCTGCCACAGACCTATTAGATGACTCTGCCTTGTCATATCCTCTGTCTGGTCCTCAGCTTTGTCATCTGTAAATGGGGAGAAGGAGGCCATTTTGGGCTAGATGAGCTCCAGGGCCCTTCCAGTTCTGCCATTCACAGATTCTAAGATTTACCTTCCTTGAGGTTGCTAAGCACTACTTAAAATGTGAGCTAGAAGATTTTCAACGTATTGGACTCATGGGAGGCAGTGGGGTGGGAAGCAAGAGAAATGCAAGAAAAATCAGCTTTGATATACAGTCCTGGGTTCCAATCCTGGCTTTGCCATTTAATAGCTGTGTGACCTCAGACAAATTATTCAACTTTTCTGGGCTTCAGTTATACTATCTGTAGACTGGGAAAAATAATAACTACTTTGCAGAGTTGAGGTGAGGATAGGAGCATGTAAAGCATCATGGTTAGCAAGGAATACTGTGCTTAATAAGGGTTACTTAAGGCATCAGGTACAGTTTAGCGGTAAAAACCAGAGTTCAAAAGGAGGAAATTCAGCTTCAAGAAGAAATGGAAAGACAGAACAGTTTTCTTAATTTTAAATATTTTTTTATTGAAAGAATAACACGAGTTCATTGTAGAAAATAAAGAAAAAATTAGAGTCATCTGAAATTCCACTATTTACCATCTACATTTTGTTATCTTTTCTTCTATTCCTTTCTTTATGCACAAATATATTTTACATAGTGACAATATATACTTTATATATAATTTTGTACCTCTTACATCTATGCTTAGATCATAAATATTTTCCCATGACATTAAAAACTTCCCAAACATTCTATGGATATATATGCTTTACTTAATTGGGCCCCTATTATTGGATATTTAGGTTTGTTTCCAAATGATTCCAATTATTAATAACATACCCCCATCTCCACTGACCTTCTCTCCACTTTAGTTTAGCCACCCGCCCCTGTATTCACACCCTGGGCCTTGTCATCACCAGAGACTGCTCCACCTCTGAAATCTCAAACTCAAACTCCCCCTCCATGACCGTGGCCTCCTATCCTCCAATTCTCACACTTTGTTACTTGAAGTACACCTGTTCTTTGACCTCCTCCATTTCTTTTCAGTCACCGGCTCCTTCCTGCCTAACTCTCACAGTCCTTCTTTCCTCCCTCCCTCCTCCTTTTTTTCCACAAACTTTTTAATTGGGCATTTTCTACGTGCCAGGCACTGTATCAAGTGCAGGGGTGGTAAAGTTGAAAGAGATGTGGATTCATCACCTTGCCCACACTTCTCAAATCCCTTGCCCATTTGCCTTTTGGCAAAACCCCCAACCTGGGTCAACCAAACCTTCCACCTTCACTTTGCATCCCAAATTACCTACTTGAGCTCTACTTTACTTCCCCTCTCAGCCAGAATTCTCCATTACATCTCTTAAGGAGACATTTAAGCAGAAACCTCAATGACGAGAAGGAGAAAATCATGTGAATACCTAAGAGAAGAATATTCCAGTCAGAAGTCATAGCAAGTGCACAGGCCTTGAGATGTGACTGAGCTTGTGGTGTCTGAGAAATAGCAAGAAAGCCAGTGTGGCTGGAATGTCATGAAGAAGCAGGAGATAAGATTGGAAAGGTAGGCAGGGAGCAGACCACGGAGGTTCTTTTTTGTGTGTGTGAGGAAGATCAGCCCTGAGCTAACATCCACGCCAATCCTCCTCTTTTTGCTGAGGAAGACTGGCCCTGGGCTAACATCTGTGCCTATCTTCCTCCAGTTTATATGGGACACCACCACAGCATGGCCTGACAAGCTGTGCATCAGTGCGCGCCCGGGATCCGAACTCAGGCTGCCAGCAGCAGAGCGCACGCACTTAACCACTACACCACGGGGCCGGCCTCTCACAGAGGTTCTTGTAGGTCATGGTGAGAAGGCTGGATACTTATTTTATATCTAATAGGAAGGCAGTGGCAGTTTTTAAGTTCCAGAATGATACAATCTGATTTATATTTCAAAAGGATTGTTTTGAAATTTATAGAGGAAGAGACTAGGGGAAAGCAGAAAGGGAAGCAGAGAAGCCACTCATATTACTGCAATAGTCCAGATGAGTAATGATGGTGGCTTGGACTAGAGTGGGTAGCAATATGGAAGGTAAAAAAATACCATGTGCAGAATATATTTGGAGGGTAGAATCAATTGAACTTTCTGCTGGATTCAGCGAGGGAAAAGAAAATAAAGGGATCAAATATGACTTTTAGATTTTTGACCTAAACGATTAGATGAATGTTTGGGTCACTTACTAAGATAGGGAAGACCACAGGGAGAACAAGTCTGGAGTTTGTTTTGCACACACAAGTGTTTGATTTAAACATGTTAAGTCCAAGATGCTCATGAACTTATGAACATCTGGTTTATATAGCAGCCTTGTGTGAGTTTGGTAGAACAGTCAGCGCCTAAATCTTCCCAGCTCTAAGTACCCACCAGTATTGGATTTCTGGATCTTCTAAACTGAGGATAAGCCTCAGAACCCTGGTGACCCCACTAGCCAAGCCTCCGCAGCCAGTGAGCAGCATCAGCCCCTTAGCACGTCTCTCTGACCTTTCTCTGACCTCTCTCCTTTCAGCAGCTAATTACATTTTGGGTTGATTCCTTTAAGGTAGGCACTTGACCTCAACAATTACATGTCTCTAAGTCCTATCAACTGCAGGAAGATTTCTTGGAATATCAATTCTCTTCTGGGGTGTGATTTTTTGGTGTGTGTGTCAAAGTTCAGGTCAATCATTCAATCATTCAACAATCCTTTTCCAGGCACTTCTCTAAGCCAGGCACTGACTTTGACGCTGGAAACACGGAGGAGAATTAGGTAACTAAACAAACATCGTGTGAGCAGGGCTGACACAAAGGAAGCACAGAAGTTGAGGGAACTAGGGGAGGCCTAGGCAAGGCTTCCTTGAGGAGGTGATGTCATATACAGCAGCCTTTCCTGCATAGAGGGTGCTGGATTTTGTTCATGATTTTGGCCTCATCAACTGTCTTGGGGCTTGGGACTTGGACACCCCCCCCCTTCTTTGATTCCAAGGAGTATTTCAGAACTAATTGTTGATAGCACCCTTGGGCATTTCACGCCTGCCACATTGGGCAAGAGGAAATCAGTCCTTGGGGAAGTGACTGCAGGTCTGTGCGTGTTCTCTGCCTTCTGACAGGAGGAACTGCAGTGTAAGCAAAGCCACACCAGGCAGGGGGGTAGGCCCAGGAGCTAACAGGCAGAAGCGCAGCCTCACAGGGCTCACTGCCAAGGATGGCTGAGGTCAATCAAGAAATGGGGGACCACTAACCTACCCTTGGAAGAGGCTTGTGCCTTGTCAAAACATTCCCCCACAGCCAGTCAGTGAAACCCAGGTCTCCCTACATCCCACTCTTCCGCCAGCTCCCAACATCTCTTCTGTCTGCCTGCTCTTCTATATTCACCCCCTCCAACACACACACCCCTCCCACCCTTGCTTTCCAGGCCTCTCCACTTTATTTTTTTTTTTATTTAAAGATTTTATTTATTTATTTTTTTCCCCCCAAAGCCCCAGTAGATAGTTGTATGTCATAGCTGCACATCCTTCTAGTTGCTGCATGTGGGACTCGGCCTCAGCATGGCCGGAGAAGCAGTGGCTCGGTGCGCGCCCGGGATCTGAACCCGGGCCGCCAGCAGCGGAGCACGCGCACTTCACCGCTAAGCCATGGGGCCGGCCCCAGGCCTCTCCACTTTCCACCGAGAAGATTACCATAGCCTCCCAGAAGGTTTTTCTGTCTCCAACCTCAACTTTGGTAAGCTTCACAATATATCCTCCACATTTTTGCTGAAGTGCTCTTTCTAATACCCAGGCCAGATTTAGTTTCCCCCCTACTTACCACCTTCACTAGCTCCCCGCTGCTCAGTGAAAGGCCAGGCTCCTTAGCCCCTTGATCTAGCCCTGCCTCTCTCCAGCCTCACCTTAACTACCCTCCCCTTCATACTCTCCAGTGCCCTGAAGATGCCACTGGGGTTGTGTCATAACTTGGAACCTTTGTACATGCTGTTCTTGACTGGAATGCCCTTCTTGCCTCCCTGCCCACCTGATAAATTCTTATTCATCCTTCAAAATGCTGACTGAGTTTCACCTTCTCCCTGAAGCCTTCCTGTCCAGTCTCCTTGTCTGGGCTTATTCATCTCTTCTTCTGCACCTTGTTCTCAACACAATGTTACTTGTACCACAGATTGGGAAATGGACTCCCAGAAAGGGGAAAGGGCTTATCTAGGCTTTTAGGGTGGAATATGGACTAAATTAAAAAAAAACCTGATTCCTAGGCAAGCGCCCTATCCACTGCACTCTCAAAGAATTAATCAGATTTTATACACACACATCAACAGTATACACATCCAGAGTACTTGGTGGTCTGAAACGGTGCCATTGAACGTCTGTCCTTGGGTAAGTAAACCCTGCGGTAACTGCCTGGTGTTCCTGAGGCATTCTAGGAGGAAGGCTGGGCAAGGTGACCTGCAAGATCCTCTGAGCTCTGATATTTTACAAAATACAAAAAATTTCACTATCACAATTAGTGTTCACATTTTCCCTCCAGAGTTCCCTTGTTTGTGTTTTTAGGACGATGGGAAGGGAACAAGCTTTTATTGCATGCCTACTATATACTAGGGGCAATGCTTTACACACCTTATCTCA